ATATTTCCAGATAAAATATTAAAACGAAATATAGTAACATCGAAGAAGTAACATCGTCGTAATTTTATTCGCTTTATAATATTGCCACTCTCTTAAATAATTAGTATTGTCGATTATGTATTTTTCGTTATATCATTCGTTACGTAAAAGATAGAAAAATAAAAAGAGAGAGAGAGAGAGAGAGAGTCAGTCAGAGAGAGAAAAAAGAAAAAAAAAAAAGAAAAATTAAAAGAGAGAGACACTATTTAATAATAATTAAAAATTATTATATATATTATTCCCATTGAACCATGACTTATGTATTTACGGTATTAACAAAACTCATCAGTATCTTGACATATCCGAAACGTGGTGATCCCTCGACGGTCGGTGCTTATAATAACGGTCGTAATAATTTTCTTTAGTTGGATATCTTGCGGTATCAGCAAATCTACCATCCACTTCTCTGCCATCGACGGGGTATCTGCTGTCAACTTCTCTATTCTCAATAGGATATCTGCTATCCGATTCTCTACCGTCAACAACAGTATACCTTCTATCAATGTCACGGTTGTCAACGGTATATCTACAATCGGTTTCTCTATTTTCAGGAACGCTTCTACTTTCAGTATGTCTTACTTCTGAATAACGAACATCCGATGGATATCTACAATCAGTAGAAACATATCTACCATCTGCGTCATAATAACTTCTATCGTATCCATAATTGTATCTGCCTTTCTCGGCATAGTCTGGGGTCTCCATGATAGAATAAGCAGCGCGACCTTCGTAATTAGGATATCTAGAATATTCAGCTTCAGAGGGATAAGTCGAGTTAGGAGTGGTCGCATGGGGCACCATATAATTTCTATTATCGTATCCTTGATCCTCGTAACTTGAATAATTAGCTTTTTCATATGCGTTATAACTCTGTCCTTCGTATTTATATTTATTATCATCGTAAGGATAATTGGGTGGGTATGAGGGATAATGAGTTGTTTTATAATCGTATTCTGAATCGTATCTCGGCATACTTGCTGTTTCTGATGAATTCACATTCACGTATGTTTTAGCCACAGGTATCCGTCGACTACTTGGCGTATGAACCGGAATAGGTCGGTAGCATTCATTGTGTTTGCTCGTATCATACTGACGAGCCATCATTAATCCATCAATATTCTGGAACCAGACACACCAGCCCTCGACAATAACATACTATTTTATCTGTAAATTGACACACACACATACGCACTCACATTCTATCGCAGCAACTTTGAAAAAACGTTGATCGTTTGTTTGTTTTAATTATAATTATCATTCCCACATACTTTTTTTTTTTAAATTTTTTTTTTTAATAATATATAAATGACCAGTTTTGATTAAATTATTTTCTAGCAATAACAATTATATAACATTCTATTTATCAACAAAGTAATGCACACTATCTCACAACGATCGATAATATCATGAAACTTATTATATTGAATGAGTAAGTTTGGATATGATGTGTCTCGTAATGTTTGTACATCTCCGGATATATCCTGATGATACACTAAAATCATACTTAACACGTCGCTCGATATACGAATGTTCTTATATTTCTTTTTTTCTTTTTTTTTCTTTTGAGCCCTTTAATAAATGCTCTACTTTTTTTTAAATCATACTACACAAATCATTTAAATGTACACGAAACGATATCCCACAACATTTTTTAATCAATAATAATAATAGTTTTCATCAGCAACAAAAACTGTAGCAAATAATATTATTTTCTTATTTTATTTTTTCAATTATATATATATTATAATCGTTCAAATAAAATAATAATCTTTACTATAGAAAAAAAAACACCGATAAAATAAATAAATAATAATGAAATAGATAAGTACTATAGTCGTACATAATATGTGGATAAAAAATGTTCTCTTCACTCATGCACACTGTCACACAAGATAATCATACTCATTACAATATTCCTCGTACTTCAAAAATCATACATTTAACGCCATGCAAACATTTATCGTATCATTAATCATCATCTTTCAGCTTTTAACACACTTTACATATTATTTTTTTTTTTTTTCAAAATTCTTTTATCTCTTTTTTTTCTTTTTTTTTTTTTTTCTTTGTTGAAAACGTTTTGATGCACTCTTGATTGTTTTATGATAATCCTAACTTGAAAAATATATAAATCACGATTAACTCAGATTAATATTTATTTCAATTTATAATTCCTTTAATTAATAATTCTCTCTTCTAACCGAGGAGTTTTGTATGTAAAGAAAAAAAAAGAAGAAAAAAAAAAGGTGATACGAAGAATTATCAATGAATCTAAAAAAATTAACGTATAACTAAATAAGTTTCTTGAGGAAAGACAGAAGAAGAAGAAAAAAAAAACAAACAAAGTATTAATATCTATAATATCACATGTGTGTAAATATTAATTGATAAATAAACCGATGATCCGGAAATGCATATAATTAACAAAACCATACATCCAAGTCTACTAAAAATGAACAACTTTGTTCTCGATTTCAAAAACATTCTTATGATTTTCACACTATTCTTTCTTTCTTTTTTGTTCTTTTTATTGGTGTCAAAAGCATACTTCAATTGTATTATTATATACAAATAAAAACAAACAAATATCCCAAAAAATTCTTCAACATGATCTATCTCTCTATCTCTCTCTCCCTCTCTCTCTCTCTTTCTCTTTCTCTTTCTCTTCCTCTCTCACTCTCTCTCTCTCTCTCTTTCTTTCTTGCTCTCTTGCATTCATCAGTTCACACACATACAACACACGTACAAAATCACACATTACGCATTTACTCATTATAAATTAGCCACTTAGAATCATCAAACTAAATTCACATGTGTTCACAAAAAAACATGCAGCTGGTGGTAATTTGTTTGGGTGGTATTCGTGTAACGTCATCTCCACGTTTAATAATATTTAAATATAATAAATTATTTCTGGAAGAAGAAGAAGAAGAAAAAACAAAAAAAAGATTGTTGTATTTGTTTTTCTAAATTTTGCTGCTTATCACGGGACACGTGCACACCCCCACATATGAATAAAGTTTCACGCATTCATCTATTTGCACCATATATCAAGTGTGTGTATAATTTTATATACACGTTTAGTGTATATATTGTATTATACACATAGATAGACACACACATATGTGTATACGTGTATTATTAACGTAATACACGAATACACATATATATATATATATATATAATTGAAATACGTGCATACGTATACACATATCTGTATTATATTTATACAAATATACGTATACGTAGGACATAATCGTTCAGAACTACTAAAGTAAATTGTGCCTCTGTAAG